TCAGGTTTGGTGAGCAAAGAATGGATCTTTATGGGGTGATGGAATACATCACTTCAGTTTCTCATGGATTTGTATCTTTTGACTGCTAAACCTTCTTCCCTGCTGCGCTAACCCCAGTTCCATTTCAGAGCACCTGCTGGGCAAAACCCAGCACCTTCTGGGACTTCCTCAGAGCAGCACGTGTGCTTCTCAGCAGGCAGTGTGTGTGCCCTGCTGGCCTGCCTGCTTTGGGCTAATGGAAAATGATTTTTATGCTTTGGACTTAGCTGGTATTTCACATGCCTTCCTGGTCACTGCTTTCCTTTCATAGTGTGAAAATGCGCAGAGAACTTTGGATAACAAATCTAATTTCTCTCTTTGCTTGAATTCAAGCAATGGGCCCCCAGGTTGTTGGGGAAGGCTGGAACTGAAGCACCTGACAGAAGAGTGTGTACTCCCTTTGCTTTAGAAACCAGGCAAAAAAGATGATTAACCAGGCAGCCATTTATTTTTTCAAGACAGGAAGTGATGGCTGCAGCCTTGTATTTAAAGGTTTATTTTAGCAAACAATGTTAATTCTCCCAGCTGGTGTTTGCTGCAGCTGGACTCCTTCCCTGCTTACAAGCTTACGTGATCTCATGGAAAATGACCCAGGATCTCTTCTCTTGGTCACAGAGGTGTTTTCTTCTGCATCTTCCTCACTGCAAAGCTTACCCCGTGCCATTTCTCACCTCTGCAGAGCGATGGCATTGCATTGCTGTCACTGCCTCTTCTGCCTGACTTTCAAGTGGATTGAAGCAACCTTATGGGATCCATTTGGCTGATAGGGTGGGAAACCTGCAGCAAAGGGTAGGTGGCTGGGGACAGTCAAGTGAGAGCTGCTGGGTCCAGCAGAGCCCATCCTCCTGTGGCTGGAGGTCACCTTGTTCCTCTTCTCTGGGCACTCAATGTAGTGGACAGCCATGAACTGCATGTTTTGTCTCCACCATTTACAGCCACCTCACTTCCAGTTTGCCTGAGGAAGGAGCAATTTCCTGGGAATCTGGAAAACTGGCTTGAGCTAGGCAGTGATGTTGTTCTAAGGGTACTGCTGCAGTAGAAGTAATTAAACCCCTCCCAGTGTAGACACGGTTAAACTGAGACATGTCTTTTAGCCTGGTTTCCTATGGAAACGAGCCTTATGCAATCCTGCTGTCTGTCAGCCTTTCTCCCCCTCCTCCCCCCAGTAGTTTTTGCACTGGTTGGCCAATTCCAACCAAATGCGACAGAAGTCTCCAAGCTGTCAAGTTTCTACAGATTTCGTGGAAATAGGTGTTTGCATAGAGCAGAGAGACTGTGTTGGAGCCCATTTCAGAGGGAAAGGGTTTGACTCATACTGGTCACTGGAGAATCCCAACATGGAGGAAAGCTTTGAAGTGCCTCTGGTGTGGGAACAGATGGAGTTGGAGTCTGCACCTGTATAAAACATTGCCTTGCAAACTCGGATCAAACTTAAGGGCAGTTCATTTTGTCGAGGTGGCTGCTCCCTTCCTCTGCTGGAAATCCCCCTCCCGGGTCAGGGGGATTGGCCTGTGTAGGAAACAACCTGAAATGCTGCTGTTCATAGCCTGGTTTAATAAAACAGCCTTAAATGAGTACGGTTAAAAATACTCTGGCTGCAAGGGTTGGTGTTTTAGAAGCTATCCCTGCTGGGAGAGGCAGATGGTTGGAGGCCATAATAGCTTCAGTTCACATTTAATCCATGTGTGTTTGGAGTCAACATCCTTGGAGAGACAGATCGGGTGACTGTGAGAGACAGTTGTAGCAACCCAGACTTAATCCCAGTGCATGGCTGATATGCTGCTGTTTGCCTGTGCTTTCAACAGTACCGGAGTCTGGGACAGGAGCAAAGTCAACAGAGTTTGTCTGGTTTGAATGGTTCCCTCCAGTGCAGCACTGGCCGTGTGCTGGAGTGGTTTGCACCGAGGTGCTTGACGTGCCAGACACAAGACCTTGGGCTTGGAAGCAGTTACTTGGACTTGCAGTTGGTTACTGGGCAGGAACTGGGCCCCAGTGACGTGCCCTTGGCTGGCCAGCGGCGTTGGCGGTTGTGGCTGGAGCAGTGGCGTGGGACGTGTGGGTAGGACACAGTGAAAGCTCTGTGGAGTGAGGAGGAGGAGGCCAGAGGTTTTTCTACCTGTTTTCTCCTGCAAATCTGAAACGGGGAAGTGCTCTGTTCCCCTTCATCTCTCTCTGAGGACACTCCTAGGCAGTAACTTTTCCTCTAAAATGACATTACTTCAGCCCGTGGCGTTTCTCCTTGCCTCATCCCTGTTTTCCTAGTGGTGGAAAACCCCGTTCTGAGCGCTGGCTGCACATGGGGAGAGCGCTCTGATGATGTACTGATTACAGCCCTGAGGCCTCTCAGGCCCTGTCCTGGCTCACAGCTGATGTGGAGGTGGTGTGGCCATGTGTGGACAACCTGGCCTGAGCTCTGCACTGCTGCAGCTTAGCAAGAAAAAGTGCAAACAGCGAGTGGCTTTTACTCTCCCTCTTGCTGAGACAGTGTTTGCTGGAGTATCTTCCATCAGTGATGTCAGAGATGATGCTGTTGGCAATTATCTGCAGGCATTTCATTAAAAAAAGACCAACTTTCTTCTCTCCTTTTTTCCAAAAGTCACTGATTCTGTCTGCTCTTGTCTTTTAATAAGTGTGTGGTGGGTAGGGCCAGATTTCTGATAGAGATAATACAGAGCATCATTTTTCCATCCTGAAAAATGTGGAAACATGTGGAAACAACCGGAAAGCAACAACTTCTGTCCCTGTGGGAACAGTGGTTACTACAGAAGGAGAAAGGGAAATCTCAGAGGGATATCCTTCCCTATGTAACTGATGCAAAAGGCCCTTGAAATGACTTAAATACAAAGAAAAGGGTATTTCAAAGTGGGCTTTGGGTCCTCTTGGCTGTGTTCAGGCACCGTTTCAGCTCCTGATCAGGTGCAAGTGTTGCAGCAGAGAGGCTGTGATGCATGTCTATGGTGATTTTGTGATTCAGTGAGTGCCTTTGGGATGGCAGTACCTCAGCTTCCTCTTTGAAGTTCCTTGGAAAACAGCTTGTGTGTGCATTTGCCTCAGTGGACAAGCAGAGTAACCAAATTACGTCCTCTAATTCCACGTTGGCCTTCTGGTAAGATCGGTGCACGTGGGTGACACAAGGGTGGTGTCCATCCCCACGCCGACATGAATGAAATCAGCCCCTGATGAAGCATCTTCCTCTGGGGTTCAAAAATACAGCCCTCACTTCTGCTGGTTTACATCCCCCTGCTCTGGCTGGTTCTCCTTGTCTTTCCAAGCTCCCACCAGCTCCAGCTGTGTCTGGGTGCTGCCCCGGGGCTGTTGGTTGCCCTCTCCCCTGCCCCACGTCACTGCAGCTCTGGCTGGCAGCTGCCGTGGCCTTGCTGCCATTTTCCACAGTGGCTTTATGAGGTGCTGATGCTCCCTGTGCCGGCATCGCTGTTATTTTTGGCACTTTGCTTCGGGCTGAGATTCTCATCTTTTGGCTTGAAAGTCTAGCTGCTGCCTTTTAACTTGCAAGTGGAGAAGGACAGGATTCAAATCTGAAGGTTCCAGCCACCTGAAGAGCCTTGAAAGACAGCATATTTTATCACTTACATAAATGCCATATTTTCCCACTATATAAAACCTTCTGTTCCTTCTCCTGTCTGCTCGTACATTCCTGTGAGGGGTCTGAAACAGGGATTGCCTTGGATTTGCCTGTATGGGGAGTATGAGTTGCCCCATCGGCACCCTGAAGTGGGAGGCTACAGCAGAGGCGAGGTGGTGAGTTTGAACTGTTGAGCTCCTGTCCTTCACACAGACATCTGCTAATGTGTATCACTTTTTAAGGTGCCTCATACCTTTGCCATTCTGCATTACACCCCTCCTCACACACCAGACTCCGTGCTGGATGGTGAATGTTTTAGAAAGCTAAATGTCAAGAGAGGAGTGTTATCATCAGCAAACCTCAGAGACAGGGCTTTACCAGTCCCTCCAGGATGTCTCTGCAGCTCTCTCCAGTGCTGCTGTGGGGCAGGAGGGGATGTTCCAGCTCTGCAAGGAAGGACTGCTAGACTTGGTGACTCGCAGCCAGTGCTGCCCACACTGATCACTAGCCAAGAGTCATTAAGAAAGTCTCACCTCTTATCTCCTCTAAGCTGCCTTTTTTTTCCAGCAGGCACAGAGCTAGAGTTGTCCTGGGAGTGGATGAGTTACAGAAACAATTATTTGCATTAAAGTGAACCGCTGGATCAGCAGAGTGTAAAATCCAACCCAAGCTCCGAGTCCCTGCCTTGGGAGCAGCTGTTCTTTGTCACTCTCCGCAGGGTGATGTCCAGAGAAAAGCTTACTTTGCAAAGAGAGCTCCTGAGACTGCACAGATTAGAGGAGGAGTCAAAACTGTTTAAAATGTCTGTAGGCTTTAAAACCAATCATGGTGTATGGATGCAGTGGCATGCAGTGCAGCTGGGGCTGTGCACTCAGGGTGATAGTGAACTACACGTGCACACAGTGTTTGAGCTTACTAGAAATCTTGGTGTTGGAGACTCTCAGGTCATTGTTTCGTGGGATTAAAGTACTCATTGGGAAAACAGGTTGGGATTAAGGAGTAAAAAACTGGTTTGTGCTGGTAAGCAAAAGCAGAGATAGGTCCACCATGCTCATCCTGTGGCTCTGAATGCACAACATAGAATCAGTGTGCTGAGGTTACCACATAGCAGTGCAAGGTGCTTTTAACCACTGGAGTCACAGTTATGTTGGTCTGGAGTAGTTTGATTTCCCTTGGTGAGGGGAAAGGTTTTATGGATGAGAGGGAAATTCTAGTTCATGCAAGGTGTCTGTCTCCTTTTTGGAGCTAAAAATTTTCTTTTGTGAGGGTGGGAGCAGAGAGAGGAGGGGAGGTGATGTGTTCCAGTCCAAATCAGTGACAGAAATCAGTGTTTATTTCTGAAAGGACTCTCACTTCTAATTTCTTTTGTCTATTTAAGCCAGTGAAGAAAAAGAAGATAAAACGCGAGGTTAAGATTCTGGAGAATCTACGTGGTGGCACCAACATCATTAATCTGATTGACACTGTCAAGGATCCAGTGGTAGGTGCCCGTGTGTCATGTGTGTGGCGGGATTGCCTTTCCTCTGGCTGCAGGCACGGGGCAGGTTTGGATGGGCTCCTGTTCTTTTCCATGTTCCCCAGACTCTTGAAGACCCCTTCTGTGTCTTCTGTGAGTCCTCATGGCTGATGGGGGGAAATCTTTTGAAGCCCTATAAGAAAGTAGAGCCTGTAGCCTTCTAGCTTTTGTCTGGCATCTGGAGCCTAAGTACCAGCCAGGACAACTGGAAATGAAGCACTTTGATCCTTCTGGTTGCTGCCCTACCCAGTGACCAGCAATCATGTCGTTGGTCTGCACTGCCACAATTGACCCATTCCCGGGAAGTTTTCTCCCACGAGCAGCTGGCTGAGGTCTGTGACTCCCATCCTGCTGGCAGCCATGAGAGGAAGTGATGCTGCTGTAGCATTGGCAGTCCTGGCTGACCTTCCTCCTGCAAGGAAGGCTGTGAGGGTTTAGCTCCTGGTGACACATTCTGCCTTGCCCAGTGCTGTCCCTGCCCCTTGGCGCGGGGAGAAGCAGCACTGGCCACAATTGTGAGGTGGTGCTTGGCGTGTGGGGCATAAGCAGAGCTGCCTCCACCTTTTACAGGAGCAGGGCTTGCTTCTCTCCCTGTCTTGCTGCTGCCCTGCTCTCCCTAGTGAGGGTTGGGCAGGAAGCAAAGGCTTTTTAAGGTCTCTTGGAGCAAAGAAAGGTCAAGTGGGTGTTTTAAACCATGACTCTCTTTCCCTTGCAGTCAAAGACCCCTGCTCTGGTGTTTGAGTACATCAATAACACAGATTTTAAGGTGAGTTTGCTTGAGTGTGGAGGAGGGAGGCTTCCCATTTCTGTTAAGAGTGCTGTGATAATCCTAAGAACTGTGGGGAGAGTTTGGAGTTTGGAGTTTTCACCTATGTCAGCTTCACTTTGTTTTCTCCATGTAAATCAGAAACCTGTTACTGGGCTCTACATTAAAAGGAATAAAAAGTTTGTGTGCTGCATCTTCTCCCAGCTCTGAGGAGTAAGTTCAACAGGTTAGATATTCTTACTCCCCTCTCAATTTAGTAATCACTGCTGTGCTATATATTCAGCCCAAGTTAATCCCTGTGCTGTGGTGCTCTGATTACAGCAGTGCAGTTGATGGAGCAGGTGACACCAGTTTTTTTCTGGAATCCTTCAGACCCGGGGACTTTGGGGTGGCAGAGACTGGAAAATACATTCCCACTGGCAGTGGGCCTCAGAGCAGGGTACTGAGCATTGTTGAACACATCTTAAGAGCTCTTTTGCTTACCTGAGGCTGCAGGATATTCCCTGGCTGTTCTGATTTCTGGGGAGCTCCAAGGGGTATAACCCATTCCCGAAAGGAGGGTCCTCTGAGTGCAGCTACAACCACTTCTGCTACTCAGATGTTTCTGGCTGGGAGCAACAGACTGAGAGACAAAAGGGATCTGTAATTAGCAGCCACACCTATTTTAATGGCATCTTTGCTTCCCCTATGTGAGTCTTTACCCTAAGTCAGTGGTGGAGAATTAATGGAGCCATTAGAAAGCCAGCAGTCATCCCTCCTGCACTGTTCAGGGATCTCTTTCATTCCATGTTATGGGATGTTGGGTTTTCTTCCTGTCTGTGCTGGAGCATGATGTAGGTACAGGCCTTAAAGGAAGCAGATGCACCAAAGACCCAGAGAAGAACTCTGGGCTGGTGTTGGTGGAAAGGAGGAGCTGCCTCCCAGACCATCTGTGTGCAGGGCAAGACACGTTGTTTCCGTCCCTCTGGGGTGGGTCTGGCGAGCTGGATGCTGCTGGATGGGATGTGTGTGCACAGCCAGAGTTGCAGCCATGCTGCAGTGGGGTCTTAGTGCTGTTTAATCTCATGCAGAGACTTACTGCAGGAGCCACAATAATAGTAACTTGCAGCAGCGTCTGCCCTGACAGCTCTGGGCGGGGAGATGAGTGTTGCCTCCATCAAGTAAACAGCCATGAGAGGAGTGCTGTGTGATGACCTTTCAGGGCTAATTAAAGGAGGTTTGGTTTGCCTGGCCTTCCTTGACATCAGCTGGGCTGTTCCAGTGCTGCATGTGTGTTGGGAATGTACCCCTATGCTTCTCCTGATGACCCACAGTCTCTTTGTAAGGCTGATCCTGGAAGTTTTTAATTTTCTATTTAGAGGGTTTTTTATCAATTAATTAATTAATTTTTATTTTTAATATATGGCTTGAGATAAAATGGGTTGCTTGCACCTAGCTAAGGATTGCTTTATGTTTCTCCTGTCAAAATGTGATTATACCACTCTGTTGTGTCCTTAGAGGAAAAAATTTATCATCCAAGATATCACCCAGTAACTGAAATATGTTCATGAAGTTGAGGCTGGTGGCCAACAGGGACTCTTAACTGAAAAATGAAGGGCTCAGAGTCCATGATCCATCAGCCATCCCAGCCACATGGAGAGTTGGAGCAGGCACTGCTGCAGCCAGTAAGGAGCAGTGGGCTGGCCACAGCAGAAGTAACAATGCTCAGCTCTGGCTGTTGCATTAGAAACAACTATATGAGTTTGCAGCAGACCTCTTCTAGGCTCCTGGGAGAAAGCCTGGCTCCTCAGGGAACTCCAAATTCACAGCTGGGCAAGTCTAAGACAGAAAGCTTCTGATGCTGATTGGTACAAGGCAGGAATAACTCGTCTTGGGAATGCAAGTGTGTCCCCAGGGCATGGGGTATGGCTGCTCCTGTTCAGAGCTTATTTGTAACCTGAATTTCCCCAGCTGTGTCTGGGGTGTGTGGGTTGGTTGAGCTACACTCCCATGAGCTCTCTGCCTGTTTGGGGAGGTTCTTGGGGCTGCAGCTCACTGGCAGATTATAGAGCTGCTGCTACTTAAGGGTGGCTGTGGGTGCCTTCTTGTGATGTCAGCAGATGCTCCCAAGGTGTCTCTTCCCTTGCTCTGAAATGCCAAGCAGAAAATGCACAAAGTGGGTGAGACCACCTGTGTTGGAGGTCTCTGCTTGTCCTGTACCTCTACACATGAAGCAGCTGGAAAGCACCCAGTCATTGTCCTCTCTGCTCCACAGTCCTGATCCCCCAGGGCAGCCAAATTCTGCTGGAGTTAAATGCCACGTGAGCTAATCCAGGTGACAAGGACCTCTTCTCTTTGTTTTGATCTGCCCATCTCTGCCTCCATGTCTGGGTTCAGCATCTCGCTGGCAAATCACCTTCAGGATGTGTGAGGGGGTTCCCAGGGCAGCTCGTGTGCAGCAGGGGGTTGGTGACCACTTCACAGGATTGCTTTTTTCTCTGTCCTTTTGGCAGTAGTTGCTCACAAGCTTGGATGTCTGCTCAGTTGTTTCCTTTCTGGCTGTTTCTTTCCCTCAGCATTATTATTTTTTGCTTAATGTTAATGCTTTTGCCCATTGTGAACCCTTTGCCCATTCAAATGGCAGAATGCTGCTCAGGTCAGTGCACCCATGAAAATGGCTACTGGGTTTCCTTAGCTGTCTGTGCACAGGGAGAAACTGCAGTTCTGTGGGGCCTAAGCCATGGCTGTGAACAATTCCAGATCAGAAGCACAGGCTTGTATTCCACATGGTTTGGCTATTTTTAAATGATGGTATAAAGAGGAGACTTAGGTGATACCTCCCCAGAGCTGATTACATTTTCTTAAATTACCTGTCTGGGTCCCCGCTGGAAGGGATGGCACTGTACTTGCAGGAGGATGAGTTGGAACCAGACTAAATGCATGTTCTGCAGCTTGTGTTACAGGGCTAGTGTTTCCCTTCAGACCTGCTGCATTACCTGTCATCTGTGAGCACTCAAGCTCCCCACAGTCATCTGCCTTCAATGAAAACTGCACTGCAGAGCCACACGGTCAATTGGGGGATCATCAGTGAAATTAAATGTCTTTTGCTAATTGGTTTCAAACTAGAGATGAGACGCCTGTAATTCAGCCACTGTCAGCTCTCACATATTTTGTGAACGTGCCTGGTACTGTGCTTTTCATTGCCCCAAAAAGGCAAATCCCTCAGGAAAAAAGGGGGCAGAGCCAGCTCTCGAGGAGCAGTTGTGCTTTGGGTTTGCTATTTCATTCTTAAACCACAGTAGGAGGTTTGCAGCTCAAGAAGAGGAGATGGGCAAGAAAGGTGAGCGAAGGAAGGTTGCTCTAGGATGCTCAGCCTGTTGGAGTTGTGGGTTCAGTGGGCTTTTGAGTCAAGTCTTCCACTTCACCTGCACTTTGGTGAATTTTCAGGCCAAATTGCTGTAAGGGAAAATGTGTGTGTTTTATCCTTGTGCATCCAAGGTTTGTTTGAAAAATGATTGTTGCCCTGCATAAGCGATGCAGAATTATAAAAGATTCCCCTCCCTTGCGTGGCTGCCAAGGCCGGAATGCTTTGGGAACTGTTTCCTTTTCTTTTCCTGCTGCCTGCCCTGCACCCCAAAGCGGTGTCTCTCCTCCCAGCCACCCTGTTGCTTTGCAGATGCTGCTTCCTGCACGTAGCCAGCTGTGCTGCTCACTCAAGGGAGAGGAATAAGCATTTAGCTCCTGTCAGCCCCATGGCAGGGGAAGCGTGTCTCTGTCTCCTCAGGCACTAACAGGATTAGTTTATGATTGGTTATGTGATGTGTGCCAAAATATCACCAAAAGCTGGAGAGGGGTAGGGGCTGCCTGTGGGTGGCTTTGGCCTTTCCTTGTGCTCTGTATGGAGAAAGGAGACCAGCCCAGGTCTCTGAGGCCTCCTGGGATCCAGAATGCTGGCAGCTGGCTGAGCAGATTTGGGCTGGGTCTGAGTGATCCCCACAGTGATGTTTCTGGTAGTTCTGCTCCAAAGGGACAGAGCAGAGCATGGGGCACGTCTGCAAAGGAAGTGTCTGCTCTCCTCTGCTAGGCTGAGCAAAGGGGGTTTGGAGCCTCGCTGTCAAAGCCTGCTTGAGGCAGCTGCTGTGCAGGACCCACTTGCAGTGGAAACCATGGCTCTGTCCTTCAAAGCCTTCAGCATTCACAGGCTGCCTTCAGGGGGCTGAGCACTCCTGCAGGGATGGTCCCTGTGGCAAGCAGAGCCTGGGCACTGGTAGCCACACTGTTGGCCTGGGCACAGCGAGAGGGTCGGGGAGTGGGTTTCACAGGTAGCTCTTCCAGGGAAAGCTGTTGGAAGCTGTTTGCCCAACAAACAGTGTGTGGGCATATCATGGTCCAACACTGAAGGCCACGAGTTAGAGAAGTGACAACATTGTGGGTCTGCAAAGAAAGACTTTAGTGACCTCCCTTCCCTCCTTACAGGCAACAAGAGGCAGAGGAGCCAGGGAATTGGGGAAATGAGGTCTAGCCTTGTTCTGCCACTGCCTCTCCTGCCCTCCTCCTTCCCTAGGTGCATGATGTTGCCAGATGAAGTTGAACAGGGTAGTGAATGCCAGAAAGACATGTTTTACACACATTTCTCATAGTGTTTATTACTTAGCAAGCCATTTAAACAGACTTCTGGAAGGACTCCGCTGTCCTCTGCTGGCCCTGCATCCTGCATCAGAGTCAGGAAATCTATCCCTGCTGTAGCTCTATAGCTTGTGGCTATGTCTTTTTTGCTCCCTGCTCACTTGTCTGCTTCAGTGGGTTGCTCCAAAGCGTTAGGATCATCCCAGCTCACGAGAATTCAATGCAGTTGTGTCCTGGAGGCTGTTAAAGCTCTGTGTGTGTAAGTGACACTTGTATGTTGTCAAATGATTTCCAAGAGGAGTACTGGGGGGTGGGGGGTGTCTGTTTGGAGATGGCCCTGAGTAAGGCAGGAACCTGAGGATCTCAACATGGGCCTGGAGGGGATCCAGGGTAGAGCTGCTCTCTTGGGATGTGAATTTCAATCCCTTGCTCTGGGATTTTTCCTGAAGCTGCCAAGTGGTGCCCGTGATGGGCAGCTGGCTCCAGTGCTGATGCAATCGGTGATTTGTCTGAGCTGTGAGATGATCCTTGTTTGTAAGAAAGGGCAGAGAGGTCTGGTCCCACTGCTGCCCTGCGAGTGTCCTTCCTTGCCCTGCCCTGGCATCTTGCCTTGCTTTCCCTGGATGAGAGCACAGCCCAACAGGGTTGGGCTGACACCGCTGCCAGTGACAGATATAGAGCAGAAGGCAGATTTGGGGCCAGCTGTGAGCTGGCATGGGAGCAGCAGGATGATGAGTTCTCCAGTGCTGGTGCTGGTAGCACAGTGCAGGTTAAAGTGCACCCTGGATCTCTGTCACTTCTGCATGAGTAGCCACAGAAGGACACAGAGGAGAGGAGGGTGGTGAACATGTGCTGGTAACAAGCACTTCCCTGTGACTCTGAGCTGTGCTCTCCTTGGCCCCACAAGCATTTCTGTGCTCTTGAGTTGCATTAGTCTTTATCCTGGGATAGAGGGGAGCCTCTGTGGCTCTAAGACTGTCTCTGCCCTTTGTATTTCCCTACCCTGTGCTCCTTTAGGTTAAAGTTTTTGTTTCCCTGCCACACCCTGAGCACCTGGACACCTTGCTCGTGTGTTCCCAACCTGCTCTGAATGCTGTCATCGATGTTGACATGCAAAGTCATCACAGTGACTTGACAACAGAGAGTCACAATCATCTGTGCCAACTCCAGTGTGCTCTGAAGGGCTTTTGCCCTGTTCTCCTTGGACAGACAGCCTGCCCATCTCCTGCTGGAATGAAGCTAAGTCTGAATGATCCCAGTAGCATTTCACAGGAGCTCTTGCATCCTTTTGGGATTCCCTAGTGTGTAGCCCTGGTAGGTCTGAGACCAGGACAGCCCTCAGGAATGGCAGCATTCACAGGAAATCTGGAATGGGGTCAATGACTGGAGAAAAGTGGGGTGCAGGAAACTAAACTAATCCAAATCTGGAGTATTTATTTTTGTCTCTTTTGTTTTTCTTCCTCCCTCCCCAAATCTGTTTCAGCAACTGTACCAGATCCTGACAGACTTTGATATTCGGTTTTATATGTATGAGCTGCTGAAGGTGAGTGGCATTGCATATGGCAGTCTGGATGGGGAGGCCAGGAATGAGAGTGGTGGTAGCAGGGCTCGTGGGGCAGTGCTACTGAGTGGTTACTTCTCCTGTGTTCAGTGCAGAATCCATGTCTCCTAACCTGGGAAGGCTTGGGAAGAGATCTGGTTACCTGGCTTGTTGCTGTGAGGTATTGCAGCCAAACTGGGGACCTTAGGTCACCTCCAAAGAGCCTCTGATTCTCTGGGGTCTGTCCTTTCCCCAGGAAGCATTTGTGACTGGTAGTCACCAGGTAGGGCTGTGCTTGGTCTCCCTGTGTTTCCAGCACCACTGAGCTGCTGTGAGGAAAATCAACTCCCTCCAGCCAGACCCAGGACAAGCACTGAGAGGCATTTGCAGGGCTGGAGAGCTGGGTTTCTAGGGAGACTGGAAGAGAGGGATTACCAGCTGCAGGCTTTGTTCTGCTGCACTGTTCAAATGCAGACCCAGAAGGTGACTTCTGCCCACATGATCTTAGACCCCTGTTTCTCTGGGTGGGGGATCTAGGGCACATCAAGAACAAGCTGGCCAGCTCAGTGCCCTGTGGTCACAGAACCCTGGCAATGTGGTCTTGGGGAACAAAGCTTCTGGTTATGCCAGCTGTTATATGTTGATATAACACTGGTATTTTCCTTTGAGACCTCCCAGGCAAAGCTTTCCCTGCCCTTCTGATGAAAGCTGAGGAGTATCCTAAATACCTCCTCTTAACTGGCCTAGCTTGCACTTCCCTGTGGAAATGCTCACAGAGCCACATGGCAGGTCTGTGAGATGTGCTGCCCCTTCTCAGGGGTCTCCAGCTGCAGGACATGGGAGGTAGCAGGGCATTAGGGAGAGCTTCCAGGTTCAACTCATCCAAGGGAAGTTCTGTGCTGACCTACTGGAGCAGCAGCTTGGCTGTGTCAGGTCTTAGCAGGACCTTGGGATTTCTGGGCTGGCACTTTCCAGTTCCCCAGCCTCTGGAAATGAGTGGAACAGGTGAGGGAAAGCCCTTTGTGCTCCAGGACTTCGTGACTGCAGGAGACTTCCTGAAAGAGATCTAGCAGGCCTGAGGGAGGCTTTCTTCTCTGCACCCCCAAGCTTGTTCATCTGTCTGCAAGGGAGGTACCTTCCTACTGGAGGTTGGAGGGAGCCTAAGGCAACCCAGGATTAGGGTGGGAGGGATGATGAAGTTTAGGTGATCCAGCCTTGGCAACACAAGACACTAGAACAGTTTCATCCCTGGAAGCACTTTGTGTAACCTGTTACAGATCTCCTCTACTGGAGATTCCAGGACCACAGTGCTGTGAGTCCTGTGGGCTGTGAGGCCACATGTCATTGCAGGGATATTCTCTTAGGCCTTGCTGTGATGGAAGCTGTTGCCTCCTTGCTTCCTGCTGTGGCAGGGGCCCAAGGACAGCGTTGCTTCCCTGGCACTGATGTCTTGCATATTGAATGACTGCAGGCTGTACCCTCTTTCCATGCTGCTGGAGATCTCATAGCATCTGATAGATGTTGATGGATGGATCTCCCTCCCCTTGGAGATGAGAAAACAACATTCTCACCCCTCTGCTCAAGGGAACAGCTGCGTTGGGGGGGGGGCAAGTGGTGCAAGGTCATGGAGCTGGAGAGCTTATGTGTGCTCCTGCCTTCGAGCTTGAAGCAGCTTTGCTCTCCCTCGTGTGCTATCACTTTTTTAACTGCAGGTTTGGCTTAAATCAGCAGGATAGAGGTGACTTTCTGGCTTAAGTGTGTTTTGGGGCACAGGTGAAAAGCTGCACTGGAAGGCCATAAAACTGTATGCATGTAAGAATCATCCCCTTCTGGGGAAGAGAGCATGACCTAGGAAGCACAGGGCTACCCAGGCTGGAGCATTGGGCTTGTCACCGGGTGGGACACGTCTCTGGATCGTGTTCTTCAATGATTGTGCAGGGAACACAGTTCCAAGACTGTGACTGCAGTCAAGATCCATAAAGGCTTGTTGCCAGGTTGCCACTTCATCCACGTGCAGCATAAGAGCTGAAAATGCCAGTTTCTTGTGCCAGGGTTATGGCACTTCCTGATGAGCTCTTGCTCCTGGCTGAGAACTGTCTGTTATATTGCTGACACTGTGCCTGTGGTTACAGCCATGTCTAATGTGTGTGTGTGTCTGCCAGGCCCTGGATTACTGTCACAGCATGGGAATCATGCACAGGGATGTCAAACCCCACAACGTCATGATAGACCACCAACAGAAAAAGGTACTGTGACACCAGGGCTTATAAGCAAGGTTTTTCCAGGGAAACTTGAAGCTCTGCTGCCTCTGTACCCATAGCCTGGGCAGCTGCACAGACCCCTTTAACCTTTCTTTAGTGGCTCCCCTCCACCTGTGACAGCATCAGGAGATGGCCAGAGTCTCGCTGGGGAGCACCACAGTGGGAGTCTGTGGCTTCCTCACTGCTGGGATGTGCTAGTTAGGTCACAGGAAATGCTTGTACCCAGCTCACAACCGTGGAAATGGGCAGGGACTTCCCCCATCCTGGTACTCATACCCCAGTGGGTGCTGTGTGTACCTGCCCCAGGGACCTGGATCTGTAGCAGGGAACTAGTTGCTGTTCTGCAGGTCCTTTCTGCCAGTCAGCAGAGGCTGAACAGGCAAGGCAAGGTTTATAAGGAAGGGAATCTCTCACTGGACCCACTGTCCTTCAGTAACACGGCAGGTCGTCCATCCCTGGGGCTGCAGAGGAGATGCTCTGCCTTGCAGGATGTGATGAACCCCCCTCCTACCCCGTTTTCTGCTCTCAAACCCCAGGTAAAATCAACACTGCCTTCAGCCCAGCCTCTCTAAACAGTGGGATAAGACTTTTGCCTGTTGCCTAGTATGCAACGACCTGTCTGCTGTGGCTGGTGGTGCTGGTCAGGAGCTTGGACTCAGGAGGCAGAGCAGCTCTCTAAGCTGGGCTTTGCCCCACAAGCTGGTGTTAGTGGAAAGAGCGTGAACAGAGCACTGCTGAGAGCATTCCCTGTCATCAGAGGGCCTCCCTCCACCCCAGGCTCAAGGGATTGAGAGGTTTGGCCAGCATGGCCTCACCTAAGTGGCTCCTGACTCTGTGTCTCTTTATGGTGTGTCCAGCTGCGGCTCATAGACTGGGGTCTGGCCGAATTCTACCACCCAGCTCAGGAATACAATGTCCGTGTGGCCTCCAGGTACTTCAAAGGACCAGAGCTCCTTGTGGACTACCAAGTAAGAGTCTGTCTCCTCCTTGCTACCCAGTGATGTCACTTGTGGCTGCACTTTAGCCACCTTTGGGTTGTCTGGTTTTGCCTGTCAGGGCATGGCCTGGGTTGGAGAGAGGCTGGCTGTGAAGTGCAAAGGCTGAGGCTGCCTGTGCAGCTGGGGAACCGGGCTGTGGTGAGTGTGCCTTTTCTGACAGCTTCTCCTTTTTCCCTCAGATGTATGACTACAGCTTAGACATGTGGAGTTTAGGCTGTATGCTGGCAAGCATGATCTTCCGAAAGGAGCCCTTCTTCCACGGCCAGGACAATTATGACCAAGTAAAGACATTGCTACCTGGCTTATTGTGTGAAAAGTTTGTCCCCAGCTCATCTCTGTGTGTATGGTGGGGAGGTTCTGAGGGTCAGATCACCATGCTGGGAGGATGTTGTTGCATGTTGGTTAAGCCATTTGGGATTTTGCTTCTCTGCTATTGTGTAGGAATTTTTTTTCTGCACACGTTGCAAAAACAAGTTTCAAGGGAGATATTCCTTCCATCTGGGATGTTTCCAGAAGGACTGCTCTTAGATTTGGGCAGCTCTGCCTCTGCAAAAGAGTGGTGGGCTGCCCTTCTGCTCTCTGAATATGCCTTTTGTTCCAGCTGGTTCGCATCGCGAAGGTCCTGGGCACAGATGAGCTCTATGGGTATCTCAAGAAGTACCACATAGAACTGGACCCGCACTTCAATGACATCCTGGGCCAGTAAGTGGAGAAGTGAAATGCTGCCCTTTTTCCTTGTGACACAGAGAGGGAGATAAACTGATGTCTGTGCCCTGGAAGCACTCTCAGCAAAGGCCTGCTCGATCTGCTGGGTCACAGTGCTGTTGCATCATGTCATCACTGAAATGCAGGCTCTTTCCTTTTGCCTCTCTCATGATCCATCCCCTATTTCTTCTCCCTCCTGCTCGTTCACATCCTCAAAGTGGAGGTGTAGACACTGGAGTTGAGCATGGGCTGAGTTGCTCAGAGTCTCCCAGCTGAGATTCCTGAAAAGGACAAGAGGTGGGTGGAATAGTGAGGACAGCTTCTGTGAGGCTGGCTGGCAAGTCAGAGAAATTCTGGTCCCAAGGGTGTCACCCTGCCTGCTGCCACATGCCATTGTCTAGTCCCTGTAGACAGAAAGGATCATGCCTTTCCCAGGCACAGGACATCCATACAATTGTGTAGGTATAGAAGAGGGTTTCCCCCTTTCAGCAGGTGTTTGCTGAGCAGTTGCCTGTGCAAGGAAGAGCTGTAGGCAGCCTTCCTTCTCAGAGGAGGATTGTGGCAGGTGATTCCCCCGGGACCTCTGGGTGCTGCTGAGCTGGTGACAGCTGGTCCCTTTGCAGGCATTCCCGGAAGCGCTGGGAGAACTTCATCCACAGCGAGAACAGACACCTGGTCAGCCCTGAAGTCCTCGACCTCCTGGACAAGCTCCTGCGATATGACCATCAACAGAGGCTGACTGCCAAGGAGGCCATGGAGCACCCCTATTTCTGTGAGTCTGGGGAGTAGCTGGGGCCAGCTGGGATGGAGCTGTGGGTAGTGGAGGTGAATTTTGGCTCCCTGCTCCGCGAAAGCCTTATAGCAGCTCCGTGAGTTTCCAGGGCAGCTTCTCTGGAAGGATTTGCCCGGGTGGAGCTTCCGCTTTTATTAAATACTGTTTCCTCTTCCTGCCTCCTCTGTCTCCTGCAGATCCAGTGGTGAAGGAGCAGTCCCAGCCCAGCTCAGAAAACGCTGTGCTCTCCAGTGGCATGACAACAGCGCGATGAGGACTGGAAAACGACGGGTAATTCAAGATGTTTACAAATAAAAGCAAAACCTTCGGTCACACAGTGAAGGGAAAAGAACCAAGGACCCCCCCCTCCTTCCCCTCCCCTTTATACTCGGCAGAAATCTAACCTTGGGGGGGGTCATAAACCTCAGTTCCTCTCTGGTGGTTGTGGTTAATGTAACTCTAACCCTGTGGTACCAAAGCCCTGGGCAAATGGTCTTGCAAGAGCTAAACATGTAGTGATATCCCCAGGGCTCCACACAACTGATTCTGGTTCACATCTCTATGGATCCTTCTCTTCCTTCTCAGTCCAGCCTTCCCCACCACGCTGGTGGGGACAAATTGGTCGTTGTACCATCAGCCCTTAGCATGCCTCTTTCTAAACTTGCCTTTCTGACTTGTAGTCTCTGAATGAACCAAATTCAGGCTGGGGGTCAGCAGGTGCAACTCTGTTTTGAGGTCTAAGTCCTTACTGCTCACTCTGGGCTTGAATTTGGCCCTTGAATTCCAGTTTCAATTGTGAATGCCGGGGTGGTTGGGGGGAGGGCGGGGGGGGGAGTTTGGCAAAAAACAACCCACAAACCCAGCAGCATCTCAGGATTAGTTTGGAGCATTAAAACGAAGGCACTGGTCCGAGTTGCTGGGGAGAGGAGATCCCCCCCTCCAGTGTGTTTGACAAAGGCTCGCTCTGAGAAGAAACTCAATAGACCTGCTTTGGAAACTTGTGAATGTGAGGGCTGCTCTTGTGGCAGGAGAGGGGAGGGACTATCCAGACTTTCCCACCGAGCTCAGGAAAGTCAGTGTTGCAAGATTTCTTGTGATAGGTGTGCAACCACGTACCTCATGACGTGGCTCCCATGAGAATTTGTGCCAGACGCAGACTTGTGCCAGAGCACAGCTCTGGGGCGGTTCAATCCAGCACCGCAGGATGGAGGAGTGGAGAGGAGGCCAGGGAGGAGAGCACAGGGAGGGGGGAGGATCAACAAACAGCGTCGGGGCGGGGGCTGTGCAGCTACTGATCCAGGACTTGGGATCCCACACAGTGTTTTAACAAAGTCAGCCATTTGTTGAATTCTGGGGTGCCGATCCTGTTGGGGGGTGGGGGGTTCGTCTTGTGGGTTCTTTCATCAGATCCCTCGATGGCTTTATAGCCCCACAATTCACAGTTGCCTCCTCTACTTGTTCTGTGTGTAACTTCATCAAGTGGTTCTGGTGACACTCAAACCTAGACGCTGGAGATAGTGTTTTCCCACCAGCACCTAAACACAGAATTTCCTTCTGCGGCATTGTTGAAATAGTTAATTTTTTTATAAGGTTGCAATGTTTCTATTTGAAACATCTGTTTACATTCCATATTCCAATAAAGTTCTATTGGCATCGACAGCAGGTCAATCCATTTGTATAATTCACTGAAACCAATAAATATCTATACGTCTGAACGTCTGCCGTCTCAAATCTATGTGATAGCCAGAGAGGCCTGAGAGCTGAAGGCCTTGTCTCCTCCAGGAGGGCAGGTTGGCTCTTCCAGCCCCTCTTGTCTGAGTTTTTTGGGATGTCTCACTCAGTCTTTGGTCGCAGTTCTTCGTGCTGTCAGCCCTGCGAGTTTCACTGTGGCAGATTGTCCGCGCTGCCACGGGGCCACAGAGGAGGTGTGAGATTTTGGGAGTCGGCTCTTGAGGTACACTGGACTCAAACAGCTGGTGCCTGAGGGACCATCCTCGGGCTGTCTGTTACCTGGCAGATCAGCCCAGGTCACCGATGCATGGCTGGAAGCTGGGGGGTCTCCACGTGTGTACCCCCTGCTCATCTGCCCTCAGCCTGGGGGGATGGCTTTTTCTAAAGATGTGCTGAGCAGGGAGTAGTTCTTCTTTCCTCCCACCCTGGGAGGTGAGTGGTGCACAAGAGCAGTTATGTGTGTCCAGGCTGAGGAGCAGCCTGTGATGTGCTGCTGTGCCACACGGCCTTGCTGACATTTGCTCTCCTGCTGAGGCTGCTGAAGGCCTTGGCGAGTGTTCCCAACCCTCTCTTCCATCTGCCCAACCTCTGGGCTGCCTGGCCTGAGGGGCAGGGGGGTCTCTTGTGCTCTTAAGCTGTGCTGATACCAGCAGGGCTGGTTTGGGGTTTTAACATCGAGTTTTGGACTGATTTTTAAACCTGTATTGAATTGCTCCATGGAGAAGCGGCAGGAGTGGATGTTTCTCGTGGCCTGTCCGAGTTGCTATGGGAGAAGCTTGTCTGTTTTCCAGCTCTTGTATGTTGGCATTCCCAGCTTCTGGAGGGACAAGGCAGAAGAGGTGTGGAGAAGAATGGGTTGAGTGTGGGAATTTTAATAGGTGGAAAATGTTGGTCGCTGTATATGAGTGCTTGATAGTGTCCAAACCTGATTGTGGAATTTCAAGGTGGTGCTTTGGGAAGTATTGTTTCTGTAAACTTGAGTCAGAAGTTCTTTCCTGGTACCCTCAAGCAGAGGAAGAGAGTTGCTCTTCCAGCAAATTAAATGGCTTTCCCTGGTTGCAGTAAGCAGAGAGGCTGGAACAACCTGCCCCTTATCTCCCCACGTCCCTACCCCAGCTCTAAGGTAGGATGAGCAGTGACAGATTCATCCCGGAGGGAAACAGCAGCTGAGCAAGAGGGTGTGGATCCCAGGGATCTGATCCTAGGGCAGTGTGGATGCTTCACTGCAGCTCGTACCAATTTGTCTCTGCAGCCAGTGGCCCTCCCAGCACTCGGAACAGAAAACCCTTCTCTCCTCTGGACCTTAGCAAAGTGTCCTCCTGCTTGTAGGGGCAGCTGGGAACTGGGGAAGAGTGTCTTGTCCTTAGGAAGTAAGAGGACTGAGAGACATGCATCTTCATTCCTGGCCTTTCAGGTGGTCTGGCCCCAGCTTTCTAGCAGAGGTAGAGTGTGGGTTTGGCTGAATGCCTTGTAAGAGGAAAGGCTCCAAACCAGAGCCCTGGCAGGCACTGAGGGATGCAGTAGGAGATGGATGCTGTAAGTGACTTCACCACCTTGCCTGTGCCTGTTTCAAGTGTGCTGTGTCATGATGGGAGTCTTGAATGGGTCTAGAGAAGGTATTTGCAGCAGCGGAGGGAAACTTAACACAGGAGGTTGGGGAGAAAAAAGTCCAAATTTGTGTTTGGCCGTCCATGAAAGTTCTGCTTTGCTGGACTACATCTCCCCATTACCTTCCTCGGTCCTGCCTTCCCCTCTTGCCCCTTCCAAAGCCAGGCTTAGGTTCCCCTGCTGTCCCCACATCCAGAGGGCCATGGAGAGTACCCTGGAGGGTGGCAGGATGTGGGGCAGCGTGCCCAGCCATCTCCTCGTCGCCTGGTGCTGGAGGAGCTCTGCGTTGAGCTGGCAGTGCCCCGTGACGCTCACTTCCCTCCTCCCGTCTCTCCTCAGGTCCGATGCTGTTGCTCCCAATTTTCCATAAGCAGAATGAGAACCAAATCAAACGTCCCATCGGCGCGTGTAGAGCGACGGCGGGCGGACTGCGCGGCGCGGGCAGGGCTCGGAGCGGCACTCGCCCCGCGGTGACCTCAGCCCTTCCCTCCGGGCCTTAAAGGTTCTCCTGCCTCTGGTTCCTTGTTGAGCTCTTCCTGACCCAGAAAGCATGGAAATGTGAAGGGTGTGCAAAGCAGTTGTTGGTTAGTTGTTCCTTCCTCTGTTCTGGCTGTCGCCCCCCCGGCCCCTGATGGACCACGGTTAGCCAGCTTGTGCCCCTCTCTGCCAGGACACGGGGGCTGCAGGGGGTGTAGTATCATGATGGACAGTTCTATACTATAATTAAAAGAATTCTATATTGTTGAATAAAAGTTTTGAAAGAAGCGTGCAAGGAGGAGTATTCAGTGGGGAGGGAGCTGCAGAGTGCTGGCAGTGTGAGCTGTTCCCTGTGCCCTGCTGGGACAGGCTGGGCGAGGAGAGCAGGAGGAACTTGTACAAAATCACCATGAGCAGAGGCAGAGGAGCCACTTGCCACCTTTGGGGGTGTTCCTCCTTTGGAGGTGTCTCTCCTTAGGCCCCACACTCTTACAGAGGTGCCTGCCTGGGTGGTGGCCTGAGTGGTAATGCTGATACCTGAGTGCTAATGTTGATACCTGCTTTTCCTGTCCTGGGAGGGCTTGAGCATGGCTCTGTCTCTGTACCACTGGAGCTCCCATCTCTTCCTCTTTCTTGGTCTGAGGCTCTCCTCCTTCCCAACACCATCACTGCAAAGCCCTGAGCTTGGAGCTACTGCCCATGGGCCTCTGCACTGCAGGAGTTCCCCTCAGATGTGGTGCTTCACGGGCAGCTCTTGGGAGAGTCTGGCTGCAGTGCTGGTGGTTTGGCTAGGCTGGGCTCTGGTCTTAGATGTTAATGGACTACTTGAAACTCTGGTCTAAAAGCCTCCAGCTGGAATCTGCGTGACTGTACATGGTCATTTCTCTTCTGTTGTCCCATTCCTTCACTGCTCATATGTTTTTCCCTACACAGTTTTTCCTATACTGAAGCTGCCCAGGCTAAGGGTACCTCTGAGGCAAGGCTTTTGCCTGGGAAAGAGAGACCTGTTGCTGGTTCCCAGGGAGGGGAGTTCAGGTAAGGTGAGCCATGGGCTCCTGCCAGCACAGAACCACATGGTGCTGCTCTCACCCAGCCCTGGGCACTGGCCAAAGTGGAAACCCAGGAGTGAGTCCTTGCACAAAGCCTGTGAGAGGTACAGGTGGAAATCTGTCCTAGTGTGTCACACCTGGAGATGTGCAAATGTGGGGCCAGATGTGGACTTGGGCATCAGGTAAGTTCAGCCTATTGGTGCTGTAAGGCAGAGCTTGGTCCATTGCCAAGGCTTGGTGTAATGACAGCCCTGTTGTATCCAGGACTCTGCTGATCTCTGGCAGAGAAAGTCATCAAGACTTTCTTTGGCTGGTGTAGATCTGGCCAGTGGTGAGAGCCTGTCCCTGCAGGGAAGAAAGAGCCCTTGCCAGAGTCCACCTGAGGTTCACGGGCACTGGGCAGCAGTGCTGGGAGCTTGTGCTGAACTGAGGTCCCTGCAGCATGGTGGCACATCCAAGCACTGCTGCTGCTTCATCCATCCATCTCCTGACACTGCTGGGTCATGTTCTCCATTCCCACCTGCTGCCTGCTGCAGCCCACTTGCTGTCCAAGTCATCAGCTTGTGTCCAAAGGATGTTCCTGGTGACCCTTTTAACTGTTCTTTGTTAGAAATAAATACTTTGCCTACCTGTTTTTGTCTCCACTTTGTCTGACATCAGAAAGGTTTTCCACATTTTCACCCCTTGCTCCATTTGTTGCACGGGTGTCCCACCAAGGCAGTGTGGTCTCCTTCCCTGATTTTCTCTCCCAAATTGCTCCAGCACGTGTTGGCACTGCCTCCTTCTGCACCCACTGATGGTTACACCCTTGTTCTCTTCTGATCCCTTGCTCAGCAGCAGCTCAGCTTCCTCCTCCTCCTCCTTCTGCACTGCTCAGAGTTCAGCCGGCGTGAGATGCACAGCAGTTCTCTGGGTTCCTTCAGCACCCAAAGTCACTTCTGGGCCTTGCCTCCCCTTGCATGTGGTGGCTTTGGATCTCCTGCCCGATGTTCTTTTTAGTTTCCTCATTACAGCTGCCCTTCATCCAGTGCTGCTCCTGTAGGAAAATCCAGGCTGGAGTCATCTGGACAAATCACAGGTCCTCACACTCCTTGCAGGAGTCATTGCTTTGTTCTTGGTTTTGCCATGCTCTGAAGGCTTTGGGCTCACAGAGGAACTGAATGAATTCCGTGCTGGTTTTACTGGTCCAAGCACTGTCCTTGGATCTGGCCCAGCCCCAGGCATCTGCTCTCCAGCAATGGCCTCAGCCAAGAGGGTGTTGGCCCGGGTCAGGATTTCCCAGTGAACCTGGACTGTGTGCTGCAGGGCAAGCACAGACTTGGTGATACTGGAGAGACCTGCTACATTTTGCTCTGCACCCAGCAGTGGGAAACTTCAGAGGAGCAACATTTCAGAAGCTTCCTGAAGATCTCATTCCTCTGAAGGCATCGGATTGCTGGCAAGTCTGAAGGGCAGGAAATATTTTAGTGGGCAGTTATTTCTGGAGCTGGCAACCTCTGCTCACTTCTGGGACCATATTATTCTGTTAGGATGGGGCCTTTTCCTCCATCTGCTCCCCAAAATCCAATCCCTCTACATTCTGGAAATTGGGATGATGTACCATGCCAACATCTTCCTTCTGATCTTCCAGGTGGATAACATCAGTGTGTGAGTCTCTCTGAAATACATCTTGGGGAGGCCTTTTCCCAAATGCCAGCCTCAACCATTGATACGAGTTAGTAATTTACAGGCCTCTCTGTCTCTGCCCTCTCCTTTATGCCCAGGGAAGGAGGAGAGGCAATGGGTATTTTGTAAAAATTAATTGAGAAACAGGGAAAATTTGAAACCACAACGTATTTCTGCGTGCAGCAAAACATGACATTGAAGTGGTAAGCGGAGAGCGTGTGAATGAGCCGGCTGTTCAGGAATGGCAGCTGGATATTTGTCCCAGTTGTCTCGTACCATCTGATTAAGGGAACAAGTAATTTCATCGTGCCATATAAAGTGTACTCTAACCCGCTGACTAAATATAGCTGATCATTTCTAACTAATGCCTTGTTTGTGAGAGGAATTGTTAAGGAAGGAGAAAGCTGTTAACCTGGGTACTGGGAGGGACTGAGCCCTTGGGACAATCAGAGCATTTGTAGCCCAAGGGAGAGACAAAAGCAGACAATGTTGTTGTCACTGGGATTTGGATGGGGCATTAGTTAGCAGCAAGGGCTACACAGGAGAAGCCTGGAGTTAACCTGAAGAACCATAAAGCTGATGCAAGACGGTAATTTTTGTGCTGTTTAGTGTCTGTACATTGAAAATAGATGAGACAGGTGTTATTACAGCAGGAAGAAATGTAATATGTGTCAGTTTAAAAATGTAATTTCTAGCCCCAGCTGTTCCTCTTAAGCCTCTTCAGCTGTGCAAGGCCCTATCTCTACTCAAAGACATTCTCACATCAGTAAATCAGCCCCCACCCCAATATTGCCAGGGTTCTGTATCTTATCCCTGCCTGACTTAGAGCAGCAAGTAGATGCGGGAGGTTCTGCACGGGTGGTGCTGATGTGTTTGGGAGCTTTCCTGCTCCGTCCTCGTGCTGTGTCCAGTCTGCCTGGTGATTGGTATCTCTGGTGTCAGCTAGTGCAGAATCTGGCCCATTTCCACATGGAAATGAAGCAGTTCTGGCTTGAAATGCTGTCTGAGGAATTCCACTATGACAGCAAGCACGATGCCATACTGGGACAACCTCCTGCACCAGCTGATGCTCAGGAGGCTCCTCAGGAAGGCACGGGATTCCAGACATCCCAGTGGTTTCTGACCTAGCAAGGCAGCAGACTCCAGCACCAGCACATCCCTGTGAGTGCAGCATTAGTGTGTGGCACAGAGAGTTCCGAGCAAACGGCTGCAGCCAGCTCCAGCCTGGATGGCACTGGAGGACTGGGAAATGGCTCGACGGAGAGTGGTTGGGATGTGCCCACCGCCACTGTGTGACCGAAACATCCTTCCCTTCCACTCCCATCAATGGTGTTTGCCTTTCCCTTGGCCACAGAGGTACAGGAAAGGGCCTGGTCCTGTCTTGGAAGACACGAGTCAGGAAGCAGCTTGGGAGGGACAGGAGCTGCTTTCCGGAACTCTCACTTCGCGGTAGCGCTCCCCAAAAATGCAGGTCCACCAGGGCAGGGCTAGCTTTGAGCAGTGAGCTTTGGCCACTCCTGTTTTTAATGGAACTGCTGGCATCACACAGGAATTCCAACAGGTGTGTGTACCTGCTGCTGCTCACGGGCTGCTCCTGGCAGCACCGGGACTGGGAGGGAGGGAAGGACGTGTCACCTGCTGGGGCAAGTGAAGGTTGAGCATCTGGGAATTAGTGGGGCTAAAGGAAGCGACAAAGTGCAACCAGCACCATCCGGACGCTTCAGTCTTGTAAAACCAGCACAGGGAGAAACAGAACCCCTCGGATTAAAGCGCCGAGCGAAGGCTGGGGAACACTTAAAGGGCAAAGAGCATCCTTGGGAACAGCAAACCACAGCGTCGCCTTTGGACCGAGGGTCGTGAGTTGCAGGGGGAGAACTGGGATGTTTTAGCAGCGCCCCCACACACACAAGGCCCAGGGGCTCAGGGGACGTGGCACCAGCCACAGCGGACCGGGCACGGTTTGGAACGGGCTCGGCTCCAGCAACTCCAGCAACGAGTGAATCGAGGACAGGCCCGCGGCCGGCGCCCCGGTTGCCATGGCAGCGCCGCCACAACACCGTCACCCGGGAAGTGGATCCGGGGCCGCCCAAAGTAGTTCCTCGGTGACGGCGGCGGCGCCGCGGCGCGGAGGGATCCGCCGTGTCCTGGCAGAGCGGCGGCCGCGGCCCGGCCCGGCCCGCCCGGCCCCGGCATGTTCAAGAACACCTTCCAGAGCGGGTTCCTCTCGGTGCTCTACAGCATCGGCAGCAAACCGCTGCAGATCTGGGACAAGAAGGTGAGCCGGCGGCGCCCGGGGCAGCGGAGCGGCCCGGGGAGCGAAGAGGCCGCTCGCCTGCGCCTCCCGGGGCAGGCCCGGAGCCACCGGGAACGACCGGGGGGGCTCCGGGCACCCGTGGGGCCGCTCTCGGGAGCCCGCCCGGGCCTGAGCTACAGCGGCCGGGTGACCGGGACACCCCGGGAACGGGTGTCTGGGACCCCCCGGGAACGGGTGACTGGGACCCCCCAGGCCCGGGTTACAGGCCCGGGGTCTTTTGGAGGGGATGTGTTATTAGAAGAGTATTTTCTAAAATAAAATACT